AGAAGCTCAACCCACCCCAGGAAGCATAGACCCTAAAAGATAATCACCAAGACAGCTAGGGAAAAGAGAAGTGTAACATACAAAGGCAAGCAAATCAGATTAAGCTTGGATCTCTCAACAGAAACCATGCAGGCAAGAAGGCAATGGGGAGATATATTTAAAACCCTTAAAGAAAAAAACTGCCACCCAAGAATCCTCTACCCAGCAAACCTATCAATCAAATACAATGGTGTAATCAAAACATTCCAGGATAAACAGAAGATAAAGGATTTTGCGAAAGTCAACCCTGCTATGAAAAACATCCTAAAGGAAGTTCTGTGGACTGAGAACCAACAAGAACAGACATCAACTAGAGAACGATGTCCAGGGCAGCATCAACCTGAACTCAATCAACAAATGAAAGAGTCAAGAACAGAATAAAATTATAAGAACAGATTATCTGGGAGATAGAAATGTTGTAACAAAAACAGGGAGTGGTTAATGTTACAGTCCAGAAACAGAGGAGTCTTGGACCATCAAGGGAGATGCACACAAGCAGAATGCTGGACCTTATCCAGAGAAGCAACGATGCCAGAGACAGAGGAAGAGATGGGGACATGGAGAAGGGGAGTGGCTGAGGACTCTGGATTCATGGGAAGAGAGGGACTAAGAGCTGGTGGCCAAGAGGCAGACTTGCAGAATGTGCCCTTTGGAGGTGTCAATTATTATATATGCCTGAGTGGTTTTTGTTTTGTTTTGCTTTGTGTTTTTTTTTAAAAAAGCTAAAGTGGACAGAGAGAAATACTGTTAACTGATGGTACATGGAGAGGATTATAATCGTTGTAATGAAACAAGGTGTCTGATTTGTTGAATGTAGAACTGAAGATCTGCCCTGTAAACTTTCACTCACTCCACAATAAAAACCTTAAAAACAACAACAACAAAGGGATAGGGAGTTCCAGCAAGATGATGATCTAGACAGATAGACACACTACACAGACCCTCTACAACAAAGCTATGAGAGACCAAAGGAAACAAAGAGGAAAATTCTGGAGCCCTGAACTTCAGAGGAAAGATTAGAGAAGTAGATGGAGTCCTTGCTGGGAGGAGAAGCTGAGTAAGGACAGAGACAGAGGGAACTTGACTGGTGAATGGGCAGCCAGAGGAGGCACCACCATCTTGAACTTTTGTAAGCAGCTTCAATGACAGAAGGTGGCCTGGCAGAACAGGTTCACACAGGCAACAGGAAAGGTGATTCCTTTTTATTCCCACACTTCCCTGGTGATCAAAGGTGTGGCAAGTTTCCACCCTTATCCACCCCCAGTGTACACCCTACTCTCTAGGAGTTCAGAGCTGTTTGGCTGGGAGCCTCGCCAGTGTGAGGCAAGAACTGACTGCACTGCTTTTGTGCCTGATTTCAGATGGGCTCAGCTCCACACCTACAGAATCTGCAGAGCCACCAGACCAGCATTAATCTAGCAGAAACCCTCATAACTAGCCACCCTGCTTCCAGATGCCTTTTGGTCCTAACAGGTACTGAAACCAGTTCCATCAAGGGCCTGTATGAACTACTGCCAGAATGAGCGCCCTGGCCCTGAACAAAGATAACTCTGAGGCCAATAGGAGTAGATTCAAAGCAGTGGATGCCCAAAGTAGTGAGCTTGGAGAGAAATCTCTCAATACTAGTATGCTAGAAGAACAACCAGAAATAAAGAATAAAAAAATCCAAAGAAAGCCTAAGAGTTATGTGGGACACCATGAAGAGGAATAATTTATGGGTGATCAGCATTCCAGAACAGGAAGAGACAATAAAAATCACAGAGGAAATTGTTGAAGAGTTATTAGAAGAAAACTTCCCTAACATCATGAAAGACAAGAAGACAAACATACAAGAAGCTGAACGAATCCCAAACAGGATAGATCCCAAAAGAAAATTACCAAGACATATCATAATCAAACTCTCCAAAACTAAAGACAAGGAAATAATCCTGAGAAAAGCTCAGGAAAAACAAAATGTTAACTACAAAGGAGAACTGATTAAGATTAAGCTCTGACTTCTCAGTAGAAACCATACAGACAAGAAGGCAATGGGATGACATGAACAAAACAATGAAAGAAAAAATTTGCCAACAAAGAATCATATAGCCAGCAAATTGTCCCTCAAATATGATAAACAAATTCAATGAATTTGTAATTTATTTAAAAAAATACTAAATCTGTAGTTTACAAAAAAATACTAAAAGTTATTCTTTGGACGGAGAACCAACAATAGCAGACAACAACCCAGTGACAACACTACCCAGAACTCAATCCAAATATAAAAGTATTTAAAGTAAAACAAACCTGCAAGACTGAAAAGAGGGAACCAGAGGTTATCAATTTATAAGGAAATCAACTACAAAGTAAAAAGAGGGAATAGTGTAGGTACAGAACTTTCAAATGACAAGGAAGTAGATTTCAAGATAAAGCAGATGGTTTTAAATGGGGAAAAATATTAATAAATTACAGGGTAACCTCAAAGAAAATTAATATACCTATGCATAAAATTAATACACCTATGCATAAAAACTTTAAAAAATTGGAAAATCAGAAAGATTTAGTAAAC